AGATCATGGTTTCACATTATTCAGCGAAGTAAAAAAGGTGGGGAAGTTTCGGTTCAAAATCACGGTCGACTCAGCAGAAGCCAAAATCAAACTAGGGCTGTTAAATCTGGCAAACCAAAATATCAGGCAATACGATCCGAAGATAAGGAGAAAAACCATATGCTTCATCAGAGGTGTACCAAGAGAGTTCGAAGAACAGGACATATTGGACAACATCGAAACGGAGCACGAGATACTGAAGATCGAGAGAATCCGAAGGAAAACTGGAGAAGGAGAACTAACTAACACCAACAACATCAAGATGACTGTGAAGGGACAAAACATGCCACAGAGAGTGAGAATCTTCGGATGCTATTTCTCAGTCGAACTTTACGTTTTCCCGATCCGACAATGCAGGAACTGCTGGAAGTACGGGCACGGAGCGAATTTCTGCACTGGTAGGGCTCGGTGCAACACCTGCGGCAAAAATCACGAAGGGAGCTGTTCATCTCACCCCAAATGTCTAAATTGCAAACAAGGACACGGAGCGGACGACGGATCATGCCCGGAGAGAAAAAGAAGACAAGCCATCCTAACTGACATGAAGAAGCAAGGATCATCATACGCTCAAGCAGAGCAGCACTATCCGAAGCTCTCGAACAGGTTCAATGGTCTAGAGGAAGAGGAATTTCCAGAGCTGGCAGGAACATGCAACCAACAGGAAGGAAAGGCAGGAGGATCGGGAGTACGAAGCCCAAGAAGAAGAAGAACGAGGAGTAGGGAATCAACAACATCAACATTGAATCAAGAAAGGAGAGATTCAAACCCCTTGGGAAATTGCTGGAGAACTTACAACAAGGAGGAATGCAGAAGATGCGTAGAAAACACACTACGAACGACCGACATCGAACGCCTCATCTCTAAACTTCGGCAGGTGCTACTACTCGAAATAAGGACGAAAAGATGGCTGGGATCGCTCAAAAATCTGCAAATGAAGATCTTCATCCGCTCACAAGAGGCCCAGACGGAAATCGAAAGAGACCAACTGCTAGTCGAAATTGGGCTGGACATTCAGAAGATAATCGAAGAAAATGACCAAGGATGTGTACACGAAATCAGAACCGCCGAAAACAATCACAGTGGAGTGTAAAACCCTCAGAATCCTGCAACACAACATCCAAAGCATTAGACCCATGGAAACAAGAGCCGAACTCGCCCACTTTCTGGACGAAAACAACATCGATGTTTGTTTGTTGCAGGAAATATGGTTGAAGGAAGGGGAGTACTTCAGATTAAGGGGATTCTGCATGGAATCAGCTAGAAGGCCAAGCGGATACGGAGGAGTAGGGATCCTACTCCACTCCAGCTATGGATACCAGGTCCTAAATCTAGGTAGTTTCTTGCCGATAGAAGTAGTAGCAGTAAAGATCGTGCAAGGATTCCACCCTATCACACTAATTTCGGTATACGTACCCCCGGATCACTCGCTAATCGGAGAGATCTTGCCAAAAATAAGGAGTCTATTTGAAGCACTTGCAGACATCGAAGGAGAAGTCTTGGTTGGAGGAGACTGGAACGGGCATCACCCCTCATGGGACTTGGAAGCAGATGCATGCAGGAAAGGAAGCCTGATAAACACGCTGATTGAAAACTCCCCGTTTGTTCTGCTAAATGACGGATCGACAACTTGCCTAACCACCACCGCAAGACGTAGCTCCACCGTAGATTTGACACTAGCAACTCCGGGAACAGCTGGCAAGTCAACGTGGAAGACAACAGAACACGAGTTCGGAAGCAATCACCTAAGCATCACAGTCGAAATCGGAAGCACAATTCCAATAGCGCAAGGGAAAAGGAAGTGCATCAACAAGGAAAAAGCCATCAAATTAATAAATGAAATCCGGCCGCAGTACATCTACGATCCCAATGAGATGCAAGAAATCTTCGACGAATGCTTGGAAAAAGCCAGTTTTACAGTCAAAAACAAGAAAGCAAACTATCTAAAAAGATGGTGGACTTCTGAAATCAACGAGGCTTACATCCTCAAACGAGAAAAACTCAGAAATTATAATCGGCAGAAAACGGAAACTAACCTAATAAAGCTTCAAAAGGCAAGAGCAATACTCAAAAGACTTATTAGAAAAGCCAAAAGGAAGTACAGCCAGGAATTAGCAGAAATGGTGGATGAGGCGACACCAAGTCGTCAAATGTGGAACATCATCAAAGGAATTGACAACGCGTTAACAAAGTCGACGACCAGTAACCCTCAAATGAACACGGAAGAAGGCATGAAATTCATGGAGCACTACTTTGAAGGCAAGCTAAAGGAGGTCTATATGCCAAAGGCCACCTCGAAACAGGAGCTATTAGGATACGAATCAGCTTTAAAGCACGAGGAGTTCATGGTAACCTTAAGGAAAAAGAAGGAATACTCGGCGCCAGGAATAGACGGCGTATCATATGGTATCCTGAAGAAACTGAAACCGGAAATCCTAGAGAAGATCAGCGAGATGCTAAACCAGGTATTTGTCACGGAAATCATTCCGGAGAAGTGGAAAACAACGGTGGTAAAACCAATACCAAAACCAAATCGGAACCCAGCTTCCCCGGATTCGAAACGTCCCATAGCATTAATGAATGTCTGCCTGAAACTCATAAATGCAGCAATAAAAGACAGGTTGAATCAGGTAGCGGACCTAGAGGGACTTTTGCCGGAACTGTCATTTGGATTCAGGAAGAATAGCTCGGCAATATCTTGTGTAAACTTCCTAGTCAACACAGTAAAAGAAGCGCAGATGGAAGGAAAACAGGCAGTGGGCATCTTCTTGGACCTATCACAGGCATTCGACTCCGTGGACACAACGCTACTCCTAAAAGGACTAGCATCTCTAAACATACCTGCCAAAATTATTTCCTGGATCCACACCTACACAACCCAAAGAACGATGGTATTAAAAACATCTGAAGGAGAAGTCATAGCTGATGTCACCGAAGGCCTACCCCAAGGATGTCCTCTATCTCCGACGCTCTTCAACCTCTACACCACTACGCTGCACGACATCAAGGAAGACGGAGTGGTGCTTGTCCAATTCGCAGATGATTTCACGATAGTAGTCATCGGGAAAGATGTGGAGGAAATCACAGTCAAGGCAAACAGCTTCCTACCTAAACTGGAAAAAGCACTTGAAGAGCTCAACCTAAAACTCAACCCAACGAAAACTGCAGCGGTACTCTTCTCCAGGAAAAACTCGGAACAACTCAGGATAAAGATAGGAAACCACAAGATTCAAATCACCAACACCCACAAATATTTAGGATACACCTTGGATCGAACCCTCACACACCGGAAACACATAGAAGCGGTAAGGGAAGCAGGAGCTAAGAAGCTGAACATAATCAAGATGCTAGGGAAACGTTCTAGTAATGCAAACCCTCAGACGCTGATAAAAGTAGGAAATGCCCTGATACGAAGCAGATATGAATACGGAGCCCAAATCTACGGAGAAGCTGCACAGTCCAACATGAAAAAAATCCAAACCCTCCAAAATGCGTTCATCAGAAATTCCATGCGGTACCTCAAATCGACCCCAATCCATGTGATGTTGGGGGAATCCGGGCAAATGCCAGTGCAAGCACGGACGGAACTTTTGGCATTAAAGGACATCATCAAAAGTAAATATCACTCAAATCAGTTGGCAAGGTTCATCCACAAAGCAGCCAACAACGAAGATCCCCCAACTGGCACTTACCTTACAAAGATAGCATCCAAACACAACGATATTGTGGCCCAGGTACACCCAAAGGACAGCTCGATAGTCTCTCTGAGGCGCAAAAGACTGGTCGACGCAAGCCCGGACCTAAAAGTATACCCAAAACTAGACACCAACCAACCATCCAAACAAAACTGCAACCCAGCAGTCTGGAAGCAAACGTTTTTGAATGTGAAGAACCAATCATACAGAAACTATCATCATTTGTATACGGACGCTTCGAAGTCACAATACGGAACAGGAACGGCAATCTACAACGACTCAACACAAGAAGTACGGAAGGACAAGATCAACGACAATTACTCAATAACAAACGCAGAGCTATTAGCTATACGCAAGGCTACAGATTGGATAGTGGACCAAAACCTCAACAAAGCGGTCATATTCACGGACTCGAGTTCAGCATGCCAAACACTGTTGAACGATCGGAAGATCACCAGCAACATCATATCATGGCAAATCGTCAAAAAAATCAAAGAGAATCCGAAGAACAAAATAGTTATTCAGTGGATACCCAGCCACATGGGAATAGATGGCAACGAAAGGGCTGACCACGAAGCCCAGTCAGTCACAAAAGGAAAAATATCAGACAACATCAATCTGGTCATGGCAGATGCACTGCTGCTAGCCGAAAAGGAAATATGGGACCAATGGAAAACAGAATACAAACAAACATCAGCAGAAAAAGGTAAATGGCATTTCAACTGGATGAAAGAGCCAGGCAGAAAAATCTGGTGCAAAGGGCTCACATTGAACAAACAGGAAATAACCACATTAAATCGCCTTAGATCGGGCCACACCCTAACAAAGGAAAGAAGATTCAACTGGGGTTGGGAAACAGACGATCTATGTGAAATCTGTGAAGTAAAAGAAGATATTCAGCATCTACTGTATGACTGTGTGAAATTAAACAACGAAAGATCTGAATTTTCAATACTAGAATACTATAAACCACTACAGAAGATACTCGGTGAAAATTTGGAAATCGAACTAAAACAACTAGTTCAATTTATTAAGATTTGCAAAATCCAGCTCTAAAAGGCAACATAACATAAACCAAACACTAACAACTACAAGATGCACGACCACAGAGGCGAGATGGACCGAACCCGGTCTTAGCCAAGTCTTTGACACAAGCAAAGGAAAAAAAAAAAAAAAAAAGTATTCAAATATTTGTTATATTTAGTGTTATTATTTGTAATTTCTCATCCGGATTTCTCATGATGTAATTATTTTCAAAAATTGATCCGGTTGAGATAAGCATCCTTGCTGATGCAACGCATCAACAAGGATGTTTAACTCATCAGGATTCCTCCAGCGGATCAATTTTGAAAAATAATGACAAATTCTAACAAACATCCAAAATTTTGATTAATTTGTATTTTTTTTTTCAGCCGGCTGCTTCCAATAATTCCGGATTGGGACGTGTACGGAAATTGAATAGAGGTAGGTGTTAAACAGTTTTTATTAAGTGTAATTATTTTTAAAAATTGATCCGCTGGAGGAATCTGACTGAGTTAAGCATCCTTACTGATGCAACGCATCAAAAAGGATGTTTAACTCATCCGGATTCCTCCAGCGGATCAATTTTGATGTAACTTTTTTCCAAAAATTGATCCGCTGGAGGAATCCGACGGATTTCATTGACTGATGCAAAGCATCAACAAGGATGATTAACTCATCCGGATTCCTCCAACGGATCAATTTTGATGTTACTATTTTCCAAAATTGATCCGCTGGAGGAATCCGGCTGAGTTAAGCATCCTTGCTGATGCAACGCATCAACAAGGATGTTTAACTCATCCGGATTCCTCCAGCGGATCAATTTTGAAAAATAATTACAAATTCTAACAAACAGATCCAAAATTTTGATTATTTTGTAATTGTTTTTTTTTTCAGCCGCCTGCTTCCAATAATTCCGGAGGTGTTCGGGAATAGAGGTAAGTATTGAACAATTTGTTATTAAGTGTAATTATTTTTTTTTTAAATTGATCCGCTGGAGGAATCTGGCTGAGTTAAGCATCCTTATTGTAAGGATGTTTAACTCATCCGGATTCCTCCAGCGGATCAATTTTGATGTATTTTTTTTTCCAAAAATTGATCCGCTGGAGGAATCCGGCGGATTTAATTGACTGATGCAAAGCATCAACAAGGATGATTAACTCATCCGGATTCCTCCAACGGATCAATTTTGATGTAACTATTTTCCAAAAATTGATCCGCTGGAGGAATCCGGCGGATTTAATTGACTGATGCAAAGCATCAACAAGGATGATTAACTCATCCGGATTCCTCCAACGGATCAATTTTGATGTAACTATTTTCCAAAATTGATCCGCAGGAGGAATCCGGCTGAGTTAAGCATCCTTACTGATGTAACGCATTCCGATACCGGATCCCGATGTTTATGTTTAAGTTAAAGTTTTATTATAGTTAAGTAAAATTTAAAGTTAAGTTAAATTAAGTATGTAACAACTAAATTTAAGTTAAAATTATGTTAAAGTAAAAGTTATGTTGATGGTAAGATAAACTTATGTTAAAGTAAAAGTTAAAATTTATTTAAAGTTACGTTAAAGGTAAGTTAGAGTTAAGTTAAGGTTACGTTTAAGTTAAGTTAAAGTTATGTTTAAGTTAAGATAAAGTAAAGTTAAAGTTATGTGTAAGATAAAGTTAAGTTAAAGTTATGTTGAAGTTAAGTTAACGTTAAGTTAAAGTTAACGGTAAGTTAAAATTATGTTAAGTAGAAGTTTATTCAAATTTAGTTATAAGTTATGTTAACGTTAAATTTAAATTAAATTTATGTTAAAGTTAAGTTAAAGTTATGATAATGTTAAGTTATCATTAATTTAAAATTAAAGTTGTGTTAAAGTTAAAGTTATGTTCAAGTTAAGTTAAAGTTAAGTTATGTTAACGTTATGTTAAAGTTATCTTAAAGATAAGTTAAAGTTAATTTAAAGTTATGTTATGTTAAAGTTAAAGTTAAGTTTAAGCTATGTGAATGCGAAGTTAAAATTAAGTTATGTTAAAATTAAGTTAGAGTTATGTTTATGCTTAAGTTAAGTTAAGCTTCAGTTAATGTTAGGTTAAAGTTATGTTAAATTTAAGTTAAAATTACGTTGAGGTTATGTTAAAGTTTAGTTAGAGCTAAAGTTAAGTTAAAGATATGTTAAGTATATGTTAGGTTAAAGTTAAGTTAAATTTATGTTAAATTTAAGTTAAAATTTCAAGTTAAGTAAAGATTAAGTTAAGGTTATGTTGTAGTTTAGTTAAAGTTAAGTTAAAGTTAGGTTAAAGTTATGTTAAATTTAAAGTTATGATAATGTTAAGTTATAATTAATTTAAAATTAAAGTAACGTTCAAGTTAAGTTAAAATTGAGTTAAAGTTGAGCACAATTTAAGTTCATGTTTAGTTCAATTATGTTATGTTAAGGTTTATTCAAACTAAAGTATAAGTTATGTTAAAATTAAAGTTATTATAAAGTTAAAGTTAAGTTGATTTTATGATAATGTTAAGTTTTTTTGAATCATTCATTAAGTTTAAAAGTGATGTTAAAGTTAAAGTTATTTTGAAGTTAAAGTTAAAGTTATTTTAAAGTTAAAGTTATGTTTAAGTTAAAGTTATGTTAAAGTAAAAGTTATGTTAAAGTTAAGCTAAAATTAAATGAGAGCTAAAATTAAGATAAGAGTTTGTTAAAATAAAGTTCAAGTTATGTTAAAGTTAAAGTTAAGTTATAATTAAGTTTAACTTATGTTAAGGTAGAGTTAAAGTTAATTTAAAGTTTTGTGAAATTTATGTTAAAGTAAGTTTAAAGTTAAGTTAAAGTTATGTAAGAGAAAAAGTTATGTTATAGTTATTTTAAAGGAAAGATAAAGTTTTGTTAAACTTAAGTTAAAGTTATCCCTAATAAACGGATACCATACACTAACGATGTCATAGATGGTACGACCATACCGCATAAAGTTGGGATGATATCCCGAATTGGTGGTTAGGCGCTTCTTATGGTTATTGTTTATGCGGGATGTTAAAGTTAATTTAAAGGTAATTTAAAGGTAAGTGAAAGTTTTGTTAGAGGTAAGTTAAAGTTATGTTAAAGGTAAGTTAAAGCTAAGTTAAAGTTATGTTAAACTTAAGTTAAATTTGTGTTATACGTAAGTTAATGCTATCTTAAAGTTAAAGTTATGCTAAAAATAAATTAAATTTATGTTAAATTTGGTAAAATTTAGGTTTTGCTAAAATTATATTCAAGTAAAGTTAACGTTAAGTTTAAGTTAATTTAAAGTTAAAGTAAAGTTTAAGTTATTTTTAAGTTAAAGTTAAGTCTAGATTATTTTAGAGTTAAAGTTAAGTTTAAGTTATTTTAAAGTTTAAGTTAAGTTAAAGTTATGCTGAAGGTAAGTTAAAGTTAAGTTGAAGTTATGTTAAAGGTATGTTAAAGTAATTTTAAAGTTAAAGTTATGTTAAAATTAAGTTAAAGTTGTGTTATAGGTAAGTTAAAGCTATCTTAAAATTAAAGTTATGCTAAAAAGAAATTAAATTTATGTTAGATTTGGTAAAATTTAGGTTAAAGTTTTGTTAAAGTTAGGTTCAAGTAAAGTTTAGGTTAAGTTAAAGTTATTTTAAAGTTAAAGTTAAGTTTTAGTTATTTTAAATTTAAAGTTAAGTTCAAGTTATTTTATAGTAAAGTAAAGTTAAATTAATGTTAAAGATAAGTTAAAGTTACGTTAAAGTTGTGTCAAAGTTAAGTTAAAGTAATTTTAAAGTTAAAGTTATGTTAGAGCTTAGTTAATGTTATGTTAATCTTTATTTAAAGTTATGTTATAGGTAAGGTAAAGTTAAGCAAAAAATAAATTAAATTTATGTTATATTTGATTAAATTTAAGTTAAAGTTTTGCTAATATTATGTTAAAGTAAAGTTAAAGTTAAGTTTAAGTTATTGTTAAGTTAAAGTTATTTTAGCTTAGCTTAGCTTAGCTTAGTCTGACTGCACGTATCGATAGTTGCACTCCGTGATTGATCTGAACCAGTGAAATTGTACAAAGATTGTTAAGTTAAAGTTATTTTAAAGTTAAAGTTAAGTTTAAGTTATTTTAAAGTTAATTTTTTGTTAAAGTTAAGTTTAAGTTATTTTAAAGTTAAAGTTATGTTAAACTAAAGTTAAAGTTCTGTGATAGGTAAGTTAAAGTTAAGTTGAAGTTAAATTAACGTTAAGTTAAAGTTACGTTAAAGTTAAGTTAACGTTATGTTATGTTATGTTAAGTATAAGTTAACTTAAAGTTAAGTTTAAGTTAAAGTTAAAGTTAAAATAATTTTGAAGTTAACGTAATGTTCAAGGTAAAGTTAGGTGAAAGCTAAGTTAAAATTAAGTTAAAGTTATGTCAAAATTAAATTAGAGTTATGTTTATGCTTAAGTTAAGTTAAAGTTCAGTTAATGTTAGGATAAAGATATGTTGAATTTAAGTTAAAATTACGTAAAGGTTATGTTAAAGTTTAATTAAAGTTAAGTTAGAGATATGTTAAGTTTATGTTAGGTTAAGTTCAAGTTATGTTAATGTTAAATTTATTTTAAATTTAAGATTAAATTTAAAGTTAAGTTATAGTTCAGTTAATGTTAGGTTAAAGTTATGTTAAATTTAAGTCAAAATTAATTTAAGGTTTTGTTAAACTTTAGTTCAAGTTAAGTTAAAGTTATGTTAATGATAAGTTAAAGTTATTATAAAGTTTAAGTTAAGTTAAAGATCTGTTTAGTTCATGTTAGGTTATAGTTAAGTTCAAGTTATGTTAATGGTAAACTTATTTTAAATTTAAGATAAAATTTAAAGTTAATTAAAGTTAAGTTAATGTTAGGTTAAAGTTCTGTTAAATTTAAGTTAAAATTAATTTAAGGTTATGTTAAAGTTTAGTTCAAGTTAAGTTAAAGTTATGTTAAAGTTAAGTTAAAGTTATTATAAAGTTAAAGTCAAGTTAAAGATGTGTTAAGTTAATATTACATTAAAGTTAAATTAAAGTTATGTTAAATTTAAGTTAAAATTTAGTTAACAACAACGTTTAAGTTAAGTTAAAATTTGGTTAAAGTTATGTTAAAGTTAAAAATAAGTTAAAGTTTGTTAAAGTTAAGTTAAAGTAAAGTTAAAATTACGTTAGAGTGAAGTTAAAATTAAAATGATTTTAAAATTAAAGTAATGTTCAAGGTTAAGCTATGCGAAAGCTAAGTTAAAATTAAGTTAAAGTTATGTCAAAATTATGTGAGAGTTATATAAATGCTAAAGTTAATTTAAAGTTAAGTTAATGTTAGGTTAAAGTTATGTTAAAGTTATGTTAAAGTTATGTTAAAGTTATGTTAAAGTTAAGTTAAAATTAAATTAATGTTATGTTAAAGTTAAGTAAAAAAAGGTTAAGTTTAGTTAAAGAGAAGTTAAAGTTAAGTTAAAGATGAGTTAAAGTTAAGGTTAAGTTATGATAAAGTTAAATTAAAGTTAAGTTAAGATTAAGTTAAAGATAAGTTAAAGTTAAGTTAACGCTAAGTTAAAGTTAATGCTAAGTTAAGTTAAGTTAACGTTAACGTTATCTTAAAGTTATGTTACAGATAAGTTAAAGTTATGTTATGTTATGCTCAAGTTAACCCGAAAAAAAATAACAACAAAAATACATTAAAAAACAATGTAACAATAAGACGAAAATTATTGTTTTAACAATGATTTATATTGTTACGTCTACAATAAATTTACCTTGATTTATGTTGTACAAAACAGTAAATTTCATGGTAAATGGAAAATTTACAATAAAAAAGGGGGGTTGTTAAGTATCTTAACAATGAAATTTTCGTGATTTTCCCATATAATTTTTTTTTCAATAACATAATATATTATTGTTATTTTACTGTTGGTTGGCGAATTTATTGATTAAAAAAATAACAGTGTACTTTAGAGTGTATGTGTTGGCTTGACAGATCTACATTATCGATTTTAAAAATAAATCGAAAAAATAAAACATTGCCCCGGGAAGGGAAGGGGGTGGCATGTCTGTTATGGGTGGTCCTTTTTTTTACTGGTTATGGATCGAGATTCGATCCGGAACTTGTGAGAAATACAGGCCAACTCCCCTGCGCTCGATATCCCTAGGTCACGTCTCCTTGGGGGTTGAGCGCCGTTGATAAGTTAATGCATTCGACTGGAGAGAATCGCCCATGAAATATGCTTCCACCTGAGAGTTCCTTTCTGACATCTTCAAGTGGTGGAGTTTTTTATTATTATTGTATGATTATTCCCTAATAAAAAATAACCATAAACGAACGATAACCCAAATCATTGAACTATTTCACAAATGGTTTGGATGATACCCAGAACACGTCGTTAAGCAAATTAACCATACAATTTTTATTAGGGTTGACTGCACGGAAAAGGTCTCCATTAAGCTTTAGAGAGGGTCTAGGATAAGATATGAGCGGACGCGGACTGCCTGATTTTGAGCCAAACGAACTGTCAAAGCCAGAGCCATACGAGCAGCGCCTATCTTAGTTACATTGGCAGTGTTGCTGACCCTCTCATAGTCTGCATGCTTCAATCAGATTTATTTTTATTGTAATTGAGTTGTTCATTATTGTTCATGATCGAATCATGTTAACAATAAAATAAATGAAAAATACGATAAAAATCATTGTAACAACATTTTATTATGTACATTCATTGTACAGCTAGGTAGCAGTTTTGCCGTTTTCGGAAGAGTACAACATTATAACAATCTTTTTTATTGTCGACAATAAATATGAATGTTAGAAATGCGTTTCCACTGAAAATTTCACTGTAATTTTTTTTTCGGGAAGTTAAAGTTGAAGTAATGTTCAAGGTAAAGTTATGTGAAAGCTAAGTTAAAATTAAGTTAAAGTTATGTTAAAATTAATTTAGAGTTATGTTAATGCTTAAGTTAAGTTAAAGTTCAGTTAATGTTAGATTAAAGTTATGTTAAATTTAAGTTAAAATTACGTTAAGGTTATGTTAAAGTTTAGTTAAATTTATGTTAAAGCTAAAGTGAAGTTAAAGATATGGTTAGTTGATGTTAGGTTAAAGTTATGTTAAAATTTAAATTATAATAAATTTCAGTTAAAATTAAGTTAAGGTTATGTTAAAGTTTAGTTAAAGTTAAGTAAAAGTTATGTTAAATTTTCCTAAAAATCTGCAAATTACTTAGACGATCTTCGAACTTCCCTGAAGTTCTGTGTACTCCCTGAAGGTCTGTGAATTTCTCTGAAGATCTTCGAACTACCCTGAAGCATTAAAATATTAAAAATTTCTCTAAAAGTCTACAAAACTTTCCTGAATTTCTGCAATTTTTTTCTGAAGCAATAAAAATTTATCTGAAGACCTCCTTTAAGTTCTGCAAATTTCTCTGAGGATCAACAATCTTCCCTGAAATTCAGTATTTTTCCCTGACGTTCTGCCAATTTGCCTAAAGCTCTGTGAACTGCCCTGAAGTACTGAAAATAACTCTTAGATGTACGAGGATCTTTAAATTTATGTGATCTTCCCTGAAGTTCTGTGAGTTTATCTAAAGTTCTGCGAACTTCTCTGAAATTCTGTTCTATAAATTTCCCTTAGGAACTAAAAAATTATCTTTAAATTTACGAACATCACTGTAGTTCTGTTAATTTCTCTGAAGATCTTCAAACTTCCCTGAAGATCTGTGAACATCCATAAAGTAGTGATTATTTCTCGAAACGACGACAAACATTACTGTAGTGCTGTAAATTACTCAGAAGATCTACGAACTTCCCTGATTTTCTTTTGATTTCTCTAAAGATTTCAGTTTTTTAAAACTTCTCTGAAGTTTTTTTTTTAATTTCCCTAAAGTTCTGCTAGTTTCTCTGAAGATCTACGACCTTCGGTGTAGTAAGATCTTCATAACAATTTCCGATTATTCTACGTTCTGAAGAAATTTTCAAACGACTTCAATTCGATTTTTTATCAGATGTTGGTCCTTAGAATAATTCCTGATCAACTTGACCTCTTCGAAAAATATCTAATCCTTATCAACCTGACCACTTCGAATATTTTCTAAATTACTTTATTTGAATTTCTGATCAGTTGTAGGTCTTCAAAACAATTTCTGCTTATTTTGATCTCTTGTAGTAATATCCGAAAAGTTTCGATTGATTTATTGATCAGTTGTAGGTTCTCAGAATAATACCTGATCAATTTAAACTATTCAAAGAATATCAAAAGGACATCGTTTGAATTTCTGTTCAGTTGTAGGTCTTCAGAATAATTATTAACTTAAATTAAATTAAATCTGGTATTTTTCTGATGTTTATAGAACTACCAACAATCAATACGAAACTAACGATTTTAAATTGGCTCACCACTTTAGTAGCCTATTGGTCCCAAGCAAACGATTAACGTACCCTATTCTAGTTGAAATTCTATTACTACACTATGTTTGTTTTGATTCGCTATGAAAGTTTGACAGATAACATCAGGGGTGTGTGGATTCATGCAGAACATGCAGGGGTGAGTGAAATAGCTTGGGACTGCTTGGGACCGTTGTTCTGGTACTGAGTGAGCCAAAAATAATAATGATTTTCTTCGGGACCCAGTGGTCTTAGAGTTACCTCTATGGAACTACCCTGAAGTTCTAGTAGTTCTTCTAACTAACCTTAAAATGTACATTTACCCCTATACAGCTATGCCGCTGTCCTGGTGTCATTGGGTTCGGCCCTTTACCTGGCTCGTAGACATTTCAAAGACAACAATGTCTGCATGATGTTTATACATCGGTTCAAACTATGCGTATTGATAAGTTTTCTGAAAAGATTTGGATCTAGGTGCATAGTTTGCTTTGATAGTCTTTCAGTTTCTCTAGCATTCTCTAGTCTTACCCTAATAAAAAATAACCATAAACGAACGATAACCCAAATCATTGAATTATTCCACAAATGGTTTGGATGATACCCAGAACACGTCGTTAAGCAAATTAACCATACAATTTTTATTAGGGTAGCTCATCTAAATATTTATTGCAAAATCCCTGGATTAATCTTCAATTTGGCTTTGTTTTCTTGTTTATTTTCTATCGTTCTATGTTCTGCAACCGAGTGGCAACCACTTACGCTAGGGAGGCAATTGAACACCTAGACCTGGACTCATCAACTCAAGGGCCAGGATCCACGGCTGTGCTTCTTTTCGAAGGAAGGCATGACACCACCAAAGCAACCAAGGAAGTCATCAATCCCCACCAACTGACGAGTTTCGTTTGTGGTTCGACACATGGACGGAGCATTTGTGTTTTGCTAAATTTTGCAAATTATTGGGGAATTTCCCTAAAGTTTCACGCGGCCACCAGTTTTCACTCTTCCACAGGCCTTAAGGGTAACCCACATTAGATCTGCTTGCGTTGCGTTGTCGTAAATTTTATAGTTAGACAATATATTTAGCTGTCACTTTGCTGCATCGCGCCAGATCCGGATCTAATGTGGGTGGCCCTGTAGATTTGGAAACTTGATTATGTAAATACTAGGCATCTTTGTCTGGTAGTTCGTTCAAAAATGATACAACAATCGTCAAGCTCGCTGTAACGTCACCTAGTGCCTCGTCACCTACAAATTGGCGCCTATGTCAGTGGTCTAATAACTCTTAGCGCGCTAATGGCATAGTTCCCCTGCCGCATAGAGAGTTACCACAATGACATTAGGTTAGCTAAGGTCAGTTAACTGACTGGTGGGAAACGGGAGCTTACGCAATGGCTATTCTGTATGCATTTAAGAGATAGTCTACCAGAATGGATGATTTTTTTTGTACAATTTTATGTTTTCTGATTGTGCAAAACATGAGAATTAACTTTTCCAATGCTTTCAATTGTACAAAGCATTAGTGCTAGAAACATGATCTTGTAAACACTACACACCTTAACTGTTAGTTTGATTAAAAAATGCTGCAACAATCGTCAAGCTCGCTGTAATGTCACCAAGTGCCTCGTCACCTACAAATTGGCGCCTATGTCAGTGGTCTAATAACTCTTAGCGCGCTAATGGCATAGTTCCCCTGCTGCATAGAGAGTTGCCGCAATGACATTAGGTTAGCTAAGGTCAGTTAACTGACTGGTGGGAAACGGGAGCTTCAGCATTGACAGTTATGTACGCATTTTTATGATGTTATCTAACAACAATGGTGTGTAGTGTTTACACGATTATGTTACTAATTCTAATGTGTTGTAAATATAATTGAAAGCATTTGAAAAGTAAGATTCTAGTGGTTATACTACTTAAAACATAAGTAAACATCTACATTTTAAAACATTCAAACAACGTTTACTTTAAACGTTTTGTACATCTGAAAACATCAGAGAACAACAAACAGGAAGTACAATTGAAAACATCCGAACAACGTTTAGTTCTAACGTTGTGTACATCCGAAAACATCCAAAAAACGTTTGGTTCTAGCATCGGGAAACATCTACATAAGAAAACATTAGAATACATTTACATATAAAAACATCCGAACAACGTTTAGTTCTAACGTTTTTTACATCCGAAAACATCCAAAAACGTTTGGTTCTAACATCAGGAAACTTCTACATTAAAAAACATCAGAAAACATTTACATGTAAAAACATTTAAACAACGTTTAGTTCTAACGTTTTTTACATCCGAGAACATCCGAAAACGTTTGGTTCTAACATCGGGAAACATCTACATTAGAAAACATCAGAAAACGTTTACATATAAAAACATCCGAACAACGTTTAGTTCTAACGTAATGTACATCAGAAAACATCCTTAAAACGTTTGGTTCTAATGTCAAGAGATTGAAATTTTTGACGTCAGACCGACATTAGAATGGCAAAATTTTGTTCCAAAATTTCTGATGTATACACCATGTTACGTTGCTTAAATACAACTAAATCATAATGTTTTCTAATGTTTGACATCAGGCATACATTTGATTTCGATGCTGATGTAGACATCAAAATCAAACGTTGGGCTAATGTAAATTTCTATTCGGGGTAATATAGTATAGTACTTGTAAGTTACAAGAAGAGGTTGTGGAGTATGTAGTTGACACATAAAACCTGTGAATATTGCTTTCAGTGCGTCACAATCAACGATTTAACGATTCGTGAGCGCTCACTCTGAGTGAACGCTCGCGAATCATAAGATCGCTGATTGTGACGCTTTGAAAGCGAAATTGACAAGTTTTATGAGTCAAACACATCATTTACACACTCTCCTTGATACTTACAAGTACAACATATCATTACATCATCTAATGATTTCATAATTCCGAAAAACATTGTTTTATAGCAAGTGAGTGGAAGCAACCCTGATTTTATGTATTCATACCTGGCAACTGTTGTGAAAAACGTTCTATTTACCTTTTGCATGCTAAATGTCAAGTCATAACTATTTCATTTGATTTATCATCTTTTTGCACCGCACTACTGACATAATTAACTTTTTCAAACGACCAAATGATTACTCAAGAGTTGAGTCACGAGCTGAGTTGTGTGCATTCGATCACTTTCAAATTTCAAGTTAGTTTGCTTGAATAATATTTATTTTCTTGTCTCACACCGCTCACAAATTTACGCTTTTTTCCAGAGCAAAAATTAAAACTCATTCGTGACTTTGTCATTATTTGTTTACATTTGCTTGATATAGCCAATATTATGTAAAGCTCGGAATAAGCTTTCAAATGGTTATCAAGTAAGAAACTGATCAATATAAAGTCCACGGTAAAGTCTCGGGTAAAGTCACACGGTCGAATGTGCTTTTGCTGCTTTCCCTCACACCTGTTTATTTTGATGTTTAAGTTTTCTTTGTTGAGGATGTTTACAATCAGTAGTGTTTATTGCAATAAATTAACCGTATGTTTTCATGGGTATGAATAAATTTGGCCAGCCTTTAAGATACACTTATTACTTTACAATTTAATTTGAGGATATAATTTTGAATGTTGATACTCTATCTTTCGAACGCATCTGTTTAAAAGACGTAAGCTTTGGTGTTGGTTATTGACAACCATTTCGAGTGACTTCGCACCACTTACCTCAAGAGCTGTTGTCAAACAGACAGTTGGGTGGATTTGGAAAAGCATTAGTAAAAATATATATATATATGTAATATCGATCAATGTTATTCAACCTGATGTATGAAATAATGATGTAATAGCAAAAAGCAGATACAATATTACATCAATGGATGTAATTTTGTTCGCAAAATCGATGTACATCGTACAACGTTATATTACACAACCGATGGATTGGCCTGGTTGCAGCAGTTTGGATGTAATTCAACAACTTTTTTTTCTGTGTACAATACGGTTTTACAAAAACGACAAAAAATCATAAGATTCACACATTTTGGATTTCAAACCACTTCCTCTTGGATACGTAATATTTGAACGGTTCTCTGTAAATTTGTTCCTACGTGCCGCGGTTTTTAAAGGTCCCTCGTAAATTTTATACCATCGTGTGGGGTGGTTTTATAGCACGCACCCTCTGTCACTGTCATGTCTTCAATGTTTTGTATTTTGCCAGTCTTTTGTTGCTCTTTCTCGAGTTCGGGTCGTTTCTTTGTGTGGATTTTTCCTCGCGTACGCGGCTCAAACGTAAATATTTTTCTTTTTTATGTGTGCTGAACAGTGAATGGTGGCAAAGCAGCCTCTGCTAACTTTTCTGTCGTTGTGTCACTCGCCATGTTCATGTCTAATCATTAGAGTAGAGTGCTGAACAGTGAAAAAGTGCTCGTGGAATCGCCATTAGAGATACTGAAAATTTTCGTGAAGAAAGCTAATGGAAGTGTGAAATCATCGAGTTCCAACCATGACGATCAAACCGTTGGTGAATCAAAAGAGTTCGGAAGAAAGCCAGGAGGGCACTTCTCAGAATCTGGTCAACAACGGAACAGTGGGTCGTAACACACATAGGAATGCTGTCCTGAATCAGCTGTCGACGTCAGAAAGTCAAGTAAGGCTGCACCATAAAATTGATATCCGAAATTGTGATTAAGAAATCGTAATCGTGTAATTTCAGCCACTCCCAAGGGAAAAACGAGTTCATACTCCGCACAATTTCGATAATGAAAATGTTCGCCATAGGAGGAGCCCCCACAAAAAGTAAGTGACTACATTATATGTTCGTGTTTTCATGGTACTTCCTCTGTGCTTTTTGTTGTACGAGAAGATGATCCAAAAATACTCGTAAAAGTGTTATTTATAGACCCCGTAGCGGTCCCGAAGCTATGTTCTGGATTTGGATGGACAATATTTTACAAATGTATTTGTTCGCTTAAAAATTATAAGATTTTCCGTAAAAATCCTCGGTGTTTAGGAATGAGGAAGAAAGATTCATACGAATCGCCATCTTATTCATCCTCTCTCGTCGTTTGCTACGGAAACAGTATAGGTACTGGGCGCTCACTACTCACCACCGTCAACCGTAGTTGCTAGCTGGCTGGCATTGATTTTTTTTTATTCCTTTTGGGGGTTCTTCTGTAATGAGAATTTTATTCCACGCTTTGCACTTGCTCCAGTGACGATCCATCCTCGTGATGACTTTAGGTATGATGTTTGAAGCTGCAGCTGGAACCTGTTCCTGTAGCATTACACCCGAGGTTGTTTTTGTTTCTGTGATTGTTGTTGTGTTTGTTGTTGTTGTTGTTGTTATTGGTGTTTTATGCGAATGCAACATGGTGTTGTCGATTATTAAATTTATTAACTTTTTGAAATACACGTGAATAGTTCCCTTTAAACGTATTCATAATTAGGGAGTATCCATTTAATATGTCACGCTATGTTGAATAAAAATCAACACCACCCCCATACCCCCCCCCCCTCCCTCTTTTTTCGACACGTTTTCTACATTGTTTGTCACAAATTTCTAAACCACAATCTCCTGACGTACTTAATGGATAAGACCTTAAAGGCACCTTAAAACAGTATGGACCCCGACGTATAGTGTATCTTCATGCAATAATTTTATATATTATATCACAGGAAACTTTCATTCATACTCATAAAAAATCTTTGTTATTTTTTGTCTATTATCGCCCAAATGGAACTTTGCACTTGCCCTCAACTTTTCCCGCCTGTAAGTGAGGTCGGGGTATGACGGCCACCCTATTTAGGCTACAATTAAACAATATCTATAAAAATAAACTTGCAGCAATACCTATATTAAGTCAAGCCAGTTTCAATGTTGAGTGTTTTCCATAATTGCGGGAAAAAGTTGGAATTCCAATACAACATCAATGATCCCCAAGTCGACAAGATTTTCTACATTTTATATTACTTTTGTAAATTTCATGAATCAACTTATTATGCATTGTTTTTTTTTCTTACAAAGAAGGGTATACATACCGCTTGGAAAACTAACTTTCGATCCGACGCCGAGTTTCACATACGAATCGACTCAGTTCGACGAAATCAGAAAATGTCTGTGTGATCGTGTGTAATAAAATATGGGGCTCATGTTTCGAAGCAACCACTGAACCATGTGCCACATAAAATGACATCAGAATTCAAAAACCAGTTCAATGGTAGTCTTTTGGAGTGTCCAGGGCCACATCCGGCCATGTTCCGGGTACCCCCGGGAAAGCATAGGAGAATTGGGTTCTTTAATTTTGTAAAATGTATCGTTTTTTGCATATCATCTGAAAGAGCTTCGTTTTCTGAAAACAGCGATATTTTTTTTCGAACCCACACACTTTCATCTCGATTTTTAAATCAAGATTTAAAGCAAAATAATAACTTCACTATTTGACACTAAACTAACAAACTGACAGCTCGCTCCCTTACAAAGTGAAACCGAGGGGCGATAATAAGGTGATTTTTGCAAATGTAATCGTATTTATTTAAAATAGTTCCAGTGTACCAAAATTGATGAAATTTCGGGTTTGAATTCCATTTTTAATGCAGATTACGAATATGCATTTACCTCAATACCCTTAAAGAAATCAATTCATCAATCACATTTATTTATTTATTTATTTATTTATTTATTTATTTATTTATTTCATCAACCGATGTAGACTAGTACAAATACATATACAAATTTGTTTTTCTTAAGAATATTAAAAAATATATTGTCAGCTATTATATTTTTACTTCCTACGAGTTATGATTCCGTATGGAGTTAAAATATTGTTTTAGTTTATGCCGAGACATTGAAAAGTCAATGGTTTCGCAGTATTGATTGTAAGACGCCATCATGCGATTTAATGGCCCAAATTTTGCATAATTTGTGCGATGATGGGTTACAGTCACTTGAACTTAAACAATTTTAAAAATATATGTACATCAGTGACTCAAAAAAAAAATAATACAGTTTTGTGGAAATTCTTTCAAAACACTTTTTTTTGTAAACGCATATTAAAGATCTTTAATTTTCCTACCGATGAGCAAAACTTTCAAAAAAATAGGTTCATTGTAGATCAATAAATAGTAGTTATTTGGAATAAAGGAATTTTGATTAAATAAATCAAACTTCATATTAAATATACAAATTAATCCTTAATATTTGCTGGCTTGATAAACTGTCGGCTTAACTAGGCTAGTAGATGCTCTAAGCTACCTACAGCTCTTTTAGCTTTAGAGTTTTTAGAGTTGTATAATATTCTTAATGGATTATTTGCCCTAAAGTTTAATTTTTTAATTTGTTTATTTCTGAGGATTCGCAGCAATATTTCAAATCAGTTTCCCAGTATGTATCCGTATCGAATTTGTATCTTTTGAACAAGGCATAGAATTCACTATACTACCCATAATCGCATATCTGTCCCATCTTTGCTTGATTTCCTATCCATATAGGACTGATATGCGATTATGGGCAGTATACTGTGTGGAAATAACGAAGTGGTTGTAATTGAAGCGAACTATTTAGGTTAAATGTACTTACAGCTTTATGCAAAAATAGTCCTATAGCGTTACACCTAAAGATGATTTTTTTAAATGTTTATTAAAAAATTTTGCAACAAATCACTTTTGTAGCCGTTGCTGGAACTAGCTGTGACCACCAGGTTCAACACTGGTGATCTCTGCAACATCCCGCTCCTTGCGAACACGTTCGTTCCTCCGTTTTCACTGTCTGGCGTCTTGCCGTCGTCCTTCATATTTTTTTCTTCTTCTTCGTTTTTGTTTTTTCTCCGTTTTTCTTCAATCTGTTCTCCGGGCCGCTATCTATACCATTGGTATATCGTAATCCCATGCCGCTATATCGTAATCCCATGGTTATGTTGGCAAACAGGGAGGCCATGCTAGGGTTGACACGGTCCTTCATGTTCAGAGCCAGATCGGCGTAAGTCAGGAATGATACATCTGAGCCTACTACTCACCAACCACCAATTAGTGACGAGTTTTGTACGTATCCGGAGGCCTGCCAAGGTTTTACCGGGACAAGGGCAGCCGAACCATTAGCCCACCCACTCGCCATTTCAAGAAGAAGAAGTGTCACCCTTCTTTACTCAGGGAACAGAATAGCACGACTGTCAGCCCTGTAGCGTGGTATCCAATCCATTGTGCCGTGTCGTTTCCATTATTCCATGCCGTGTTCAGTATGCCGTAATTAGGATCTAACTAGCATCGATCCCAATGTGCTGGTTGGCACTCCTGCGGGTTTACGAAGCATTTCCTCTATCGCCGTACTATGGTTACCGCGCCAGTGTTCGCGTCGCACCCCCTCACTTTGCTATTGTCAGAAGGACAACATTACCCAGGCTATATTAAGTCAAGCCAGTTTCAATGTTGAGTGTTTTCCATAATTGCGGGAAAAAGTTGGAATTCCAATACAACATCAATGATCCCCAAGTCGACAAGATTTTCTACATTTTATATTACTTTTGTAAATTTCATGAATCAACTTATTATGCATTGTTTTTTTTTCTTACAAAGAAGGGTATACATACCGCTTGGAAAACTAACTTTCGATCCGACGCCGAGTTTCACATACGAATCGACTCAGTTCGACGAAATCAGAAAATGTCTGTGTGATCGTGTGTAATAAAATATGGGGCTCATGTTTCGAAGCAACCACTGAACCATGTGCCACATAAAATGACATCAGAATTCAAAAACCAGTTCAATGGTAGTCTTTTGGAGTGTCCAGGGCCACATCCGGCCATGTTCCGGGTACCCCCGGGAAAGCATAGGAGAATTGGGTTCTTTAATTTTGTAAAATGTATCGTTTTTTGCATATCATCTGAAAGAGCTTCGTTTTCTGAAAACAGCGATATTTTTTTTCGAACCCACACACTTTCATCTCGATTTTTAAATCAAGATTTAAAGCAAAATAATAACTTCACTATTTGACACTAAACTAACAAACTGACAGCTCGCTCCCTTACAAAGTGAAACCGAGGGGCGATAATAAGGTGATTTTTGCAAATGTAATCGTATTTATTTAAAATAGTTCCAGTGTACCAAAATTGATGAAATTTCGGGTTTGAATTCCATTTTTAATGCAGATTACGAATATGCATTTACCTCAATACCCTTAAAGAAATCAATTCATCAATCACATTTATTTATTTATTTATTTATTTATTTATTTATTTATTTATTTCATCAACCGATGTAGACTAGTACAAATACATATACAAATTTGTTTTTCTTAAGAATATTAAAAAATATATTGTCAGCTATTATATTTTTACTTCCTACGAGTTATGATTCCGTATGGAGTTAAAATATTGTTTTAGTTTATGCCGAGACATTGAAAAGTCAATGGTTTCGCAGTATTGATTGTAAGACGCCATCATGCGATTTAATGGCCCAAATTTTGCATAATTTGTGCGATGATGGGTTACAGTCACTTGAACTTAAACAATTTTAAAAATATATGTACATCAGTGACTCAAAAAAAAAATAATACAGTTTTGTGGAAATTCTTTCAAAACACTTTTTTTTGTAAACGCATATTAAAGATCTTTAATTTTCCTACCGATGAGCAAAACTTTCAAAAAAATAGGTTCATTGTAGATCAATAAATAGTAGTTATTTGGAATAAAGGAATTTTGATTAAATAAATCAAACTTCATATTAAATATACAAATTAATCCTTAATATTTGCTGGCTTGATAAACTGTCGGCTTAACTAGGCTAGTAGATGCTCTAAGCTACCT